CACTATAAGAAAAAGTAACTTTATTGAAACTATAGCGATGGAAAACGATGGGAAAATACATAACTCAGTGAAACAGGTGATCAGAAAAAGTAGTAATAGATAGGGCCATATTAGGAGACACTATAAACCAGGGGTCCCCAATTAAATTGGCATCAGGTCCACTTACTTGATTCAATAGATTAGGGTCCGGACATCATACAAATATTTATTTAATAGAAATCCGTTCAAGCTATTTCTTCCATATTAAATTATTTGAAACCTTCAACAACGACTACAGTAGTAAGAACTATTTGTAAACAAAATCTAAAGATAGGTGTGTATATTTCAATTCATTGATAATAATTCAACATTAATCTACTTTGTTTATTTCTACACAACACACCACAAACCTCTCCCAAACTCTCAGAGCAGAGTGTGCAACACATGTTAATTGCGGAGGATAAGGGTATCGTTTTTGAACTGCTTCTTTCTATCAAATAAAGTTTTTGCCATCCCCTCCACTCACTCTGACCATAACAAAGCTCTTTATGCCCGAAATCCACTGCACTTGCATTAACACTGTCTACTGTGAGCACTTAAGTAGGGCATGCGCTGTTTGTTAATGCTTTAATATGTTTCTGATGTGTACCTCTGTCTCGCTCCTCCTCGCTGCTCCTCCTCACACACCTCTGTCTCGCTCCTCCTCGCTGCTCCTCCTCACACACCTCTGTCTCGCTCCTCCTCACACACCTCTGTCTCGCTCCTCCTCACACACCTCTGTCTCGCTCCTCCTCGCTGCTCCTCCTCACACACCTCTGTCTCGCTCCTCCTCGCTGCTCCTCCTCACACACCTCTGTCTCGCTCCTTCTTCTCCTCCTCCGTTCATAAACAGGCAGTGTGAGCAGCTGAATGCGAGCGTCAATCGCTCCGTACACAGCGCTCATTCCCGTTGCTTTCACTAAAGTTATTTTGATTGCTCCGTGGAAGGACCCGCTCCCCACATAGCCGCCCTCGCGCCTACCTGTTTATAAATCGCTTTTGGTAATAATTTGACACGTAATTGCAATAATGTTATAATATTTACATGGTGGTGGAAAAAACAATAGCAAAAAGCGAGCTTAAAATTATACAAATAACTATTTACAAATATTTAAGGCAATAACAGGTGAAAAGAACCAGGTGAGAGATCTGGGAGTTATTTGCTTTCTTGTGGCTCCCTCTAGTGGCCGCACCACGCCAACACACTAAGAGCGGCCGCATGCTCGCACTATAAGAAAAAATAACTTTACTGAAACTATAGCGATGGAAAACGAGAGGAAAAACCTAACTCAGTGAAAAAAATGATCAGAAAAAGTATGAATAGTTAAAACATATTAGCAGACACTATAAACTATTGACAGACAAATGAGATACATCTAATAATAAACTACTAAACACACTCAAACAAGTTACAAAGCAAGTTACACAAATACACTTTTAATGATAATACTAGCTATTCATGCAAACTCTCACAGTTAGGGTTAGGGTTAGGTTTATGTATGTGTTCACGTCTCCAACGTGTGGAGACGGGAGGTGTACGGGCCCTATCTCTCCGTCCGGGTTGGGCGGTGTAGCTGGCGCTCCAGGTATAGTGGTGAGGGGGAGTGGGCTCTTCCCGGTGACTCTGGGTGTGTGTACGTCTGTAATGATGTGGACGTCCCCTCTCTCTCTCTGGGACTCTAGTCCACTCATTGTTGGGCCGTCTGCGGGGGCCGCGTTCCCATGGGGAACCCCTTCTCTCTCTCCCATACTCATCCTGATGGTTATTGACCTCCCGCAGACTGTGGCCCCTCCGACCGTACGTGGGCCAATCCCGTTGGGAGTGGGTCCACTGTGGACTGCTGCGGGTGTATGGTGAGTAGGGAGTCCAGGTGTATTCTGGCATTTTTTGTTGGATTTTTAGTTTTTTGTATTTTTGTAAAGGACTTTATTAAAAGTGTTTAAAAGGTTTAAAACAGACTTTATTAAAAGTGTTTAAAAGGTTTAAAACTTCAGATTGCCTCCTTTGTGTTATGGGAGGCAAAAGAAAGACCTTGAAAGGTCTAAGAAATTTTAAAATGCGCAGGTTCTCAGAATTAATAAATAAAGGACATTAAAAGAGCTATATGAAGGATAAAACACGACGTTTCGACCTTGACTGGTCTTCATCAGGTGTATATAAAAAAAAGGTAGAGCACAGATTTTGGACTTGTGATGTGCACTCTCTGAAGAGCTGTTCAGAATGAACCAGAGGTGAGGGTGGAGCAGCCTCTTATCCTCTGTTCCTCTTCCCTGATTGGTTGAGGGTGATTGGGTTGGTCTCCACCTGTGTGGGGAGACCCACCTGTAGGCCGTTAGTAAAACAGCTGGATATGGAGGACAGGAAGGGAAATAAATACTATTTTGGGTGTGGAAAGTGGGCTGAAATGTAAACAATGTGTGGATTTGGATTCTGTGTATAGGAGAGGTCCGGGTGGGCTTTGGTCCTAAATCAAATGGGTTGAATTAAGGTTCCAGATGGGGATGGGGTTTAATAATGAAAAAATAAGTTATGTGAAGGTACGAGGTCCAAGGGGTTTATAAATTAGGTTATAATTAGGCAAGGGGTTAAGATAGGTGATATATATTATTTAATTTGGTTATGTTTAGGCCAGGGGTTGGGGTAAATATTATATAATGATGGATCTGGTTATGTTTAGGGAAGGGGTTAGGGTAGGTGGTATATAATACTGAACTTGGTTATGTTTAGGCCAGGGGTTAGGGTAGATGTTGTATAATAATGAATATGGTTAGGTTTAGGCCAGGGGTTGGGGTGGGTATTATATAAGGTATGGTTTAGGCGGTGGTGGTATTTAGTTTTTTAGGCCAGGGGTTGGGGTGGGTGATATATAATATATTAAGGAATATGGTTATGTTTAGGCCAGGGGATGGGGTAGGTGATATATAATAATGAATTTGGTTATGTTTAGGCCAGGGGTTAGGGTAGATATGTAATATAATGAATTTGGTTATGTTTAGGGAAGGGGTTAGGGTAGATATGTAATATAATTAATTTGGTTTTGTTTAGGGAAGGGGTTGGGTTGGATGCTATAGCAGTGAATTAGTTAGGGTTAGGTCCGGGGTCAGGATCAGGTTAAATTAATAGGTATAGGTCCAGGTAAGTATTATTTTTATTACTTTTGATTATTTTAGCAGGTTTTTTCCCCAATGTTTGGGCTTTGAATGGTTCCAGGTAAGTGGATTAGAGTCCTTCAATGTATGTGGCATCCAGTGTTACATTGTGTGGTTAGGTTTAGGCCAGGGGTTGGGGTGGGTATTATATAATAAGGTGGTTATGTTTAGGCCAGGGGTTGGGGTGGGTATTATATAATAATGAAGATGGTTGTGTTTAGGCCAGGGGTTGGGGTGGGTGATATATAATATATTAAGGAATATGGTTATGTTTAGGCCAGGGGATGGGGTAGGTGATATATAATAATGAATTTGGTTATGTTTAGGCCAGGGGTTAGGGTAGATGTGTAATATAATGAATTTGGTTATGTTTAGGGAAGGGGTTAGGGTAGATATGTAATATAATTAATTTGGTTTTGTTTAGGGAAGGGGTTGGGTTGGATGCTATAGCAGTGAATTAGTTAGGGTTAGGTCCGGGGTCAGGATCAGGTTAAATTAATAGGTATAGGTCCAGGTAAGTATTATTTTTATTACTTTTGATTATTTTTGCAGGTTGTTTCCCAATTTTGGGCTTTGAATGGTTCCAGGTAAGTGGATTAGAGTCCTTCAATGTATGTGGCATCCAGTGTTACATTGTGACCCTTTTAATCCATGTTTTATAGTGATCGGGTGAACAAGGTAAGTATTAGTATTTTAATTGCATCTGTAATTGAGACCATGTGGGTGAGTACTATTTAATTGTTTGATCCATTTGTTCTCCACTTTGAGCCGGTCTTTCTCCGTCCAGGCTCCGTTGGACTCTAAGCCTGCCACTTTGACCGCTTGGTATCCATGTAAAATAAAATGTTTGATCAATGGTTTGAGTATGTCTTTTTTCCTCAAGAAGGTATACCTGTGTTGGACAAAACGGCCCAGGAGGGTGTTCCCCGTTTGTCCAACATATTGTTTCCCACATTTGGAGCAGAAAATCAAGTAAACCACATTTTGTGAGTGACAGGTAAATCTTTGTACTATGGGGAAGATTATACCTGTGGTATGACTCTTGACTAAGTCAAGGTGTACCAAGTGTGGTGATAGGATGTTCTGTTTTTTTATTTGGTTAACAGTCGGGGCTAGTTTGGCCCTCACCAAATACTGCCCCAGGCTGCGGTTCTTTTTGTAGGCAGAGACGACCCTGTAATCCTTCAGGAGACCTTGTTGGGTAATGTATGTGTAAAAGTTATTTTTTATGACTGTGTTAATGCTTCGTCCCACAGAGGAGAAGGTGGTGATCAAAGGTAGGATTTTTCCTTGTTCCTGTGTATTGTTAACTGTAAATTTTTTTAGACATGTTCTCAGGAAGGACCTACTGTAACCTCTCTTCTTCAGGGCCTGGAATAGAATCCTTACTGCCTGGAAAAAGTCCTCCTGTCTGGTACAGATGCGGTGGAATCTGACCAGCTGGGACTTGACCAATCCTGCAAATGTGAAGCGGGGGTGGAAGCTGTCCTTGTGTAGGAGGCAGTGAGTATCTGTAGCTTTAAAAAATACTTTGGTGTCCAGTCTGTGTGTTTTATTAAAGTCAGGTCCTTTGTAAACTGTTGTGTCCAGAAAATTCAGGGAGGTGGCGCTGTGTTCATGTTTTATTTTAATGGATGGGTCAAACGTGTCCAAAATGTGGAGGAAGTTTTTAAAGGACTCCTCCGTGTCTGTCCAGATCCCAAATATATCATCTAAATAACGCCTGAAGATCAGGGGTTGCACTGGGCAGATGGCTAATGCTCTCGACTCCCACTCTGCCATGAAAATGTTGGCATAAGCTGGAGCGAAACGCTTGCCCATTGCTGTGCCCCTGGTCTGCAGGTAATATTTTCCATCAAATTCAAAGTCATTCCTCCTTAGGTTGATTTCTAACAAGTTTATTAACAGATTGTCTGGACGTGTATCCTCCGGGTATTTCTTAAAAATATCTTGTACGGCTCTAATACCGGACTCAATGGGAATGTTGGTATATAGGGAGTCGATGTCCACCGAGAAGAAGAAAGCCTTCTCTGGTACCTGTAAGGTCTGTAGGGTCTCAATAAAATGCGTAGTGTTTTTTAAATACGAGGGGTGTTTATTTGATAACGGGGTGAGGAAATGGTCAATATATTCTGCTGTCCTATAGGTATCCGAGTTACAGTCTGAAACGATTGGTCTTCCAGGAGGAATCCGTCCTGGGACTGTCCATTTGGATTGTTCTTTGTGGATCTTTGGAAGAATGTAAAAACGTCTCATCCTGGGCTCTGGGGGTCCTTGAAGGTAAGTATGTTGTTTTTTATTTATGTATTTTAATATGTAAAGTTGGTCTAATATTGCCTTCACTTGTGGTATAGTGTCCGGGAAAATTGGCTCCTCTATTATAGTGTAATAATTCCTGTCCCTTAGTTGCCTCTCCACTTCAAATATATAATCCTCCCTGTCCATCATTACTATTACACTGCCTTTATCGGCCGGTTTGATCACTACTCTCTTTTCCCTCATCAGGGAGCGGAGAGCCTCCGTCTCATCGGGTGAGATGTTTGGTGTCTCTCTGTGATTTCTATAGATAGACTTGAAGGCCTGGCAGTCCAGTCTCCTTAGGACTGCTGTCTCTGGGGGGAGCTTGTCTTTCGGTGGAATCCACGTGGAAACAGGTAAGAACTTTCTTTCTAGATTGGTGTTTTTTGGTAGGGAATTATTATCCTGTGAGAAATACAGTGCCAGGTCCACTTTCCTGTGGTAGTTTTGTAGGTCCCACTCAAACCGGAGCTTCTGATCCTTCTTATTTTGGTAAGTAGGAACAAAGGTGAGTCCTCTTTCTAATAGTTGAATCTGTGTTTTATTGGGAATAAATTTTGTGCATAAATTAAAAATGTTGTGTAGTGTGTCCTCCGTGTGTGAGCCCTCCGAGTTGATCACTGGAGGGAGTCCCAGTTTAACTCACGGGCCCAATGTTGTAACATTTTCTTGGCCGTCTCCTCCGTCCAGTGTATATTGTCGGTCCTGGTTCTGAAGTCCTCTTCTGGGAGTCTCCTAATGTGTGGCATGTTTCGCTCTAGGTGGTGGTTGAGGACCGCCAACACACTCCTCTCCTTTAAGGGGAGCTCTTTGGAGGATTGGATTAGGGGCACCCTAATGTTGGCATGTGGGAAAGTCTTTTTTGCCTCCCTGACTAGCCTCTGCATTTGTTTTATGCATGTTTCACTTTGTTTTTGTTGTCTGTTATTTAGACCAAATGAAAGGACCACACTCTCCACCTGGGGCTGGTTTGGTGTATTGCTGAGAAGCTCTGCAGCATGGAGAAGATTGGCCCCGGGGAAGCTATCTATTTGTAGGGAAGCAAAGGTGTGATCTTTGATCCTGGCGACGTTGGAGTCACCAAGGATCAAGACGGGCTTGGTCACTCTAAGGGACCAGTCTAGGCTTTTCCTGTTGGTCACTTTATGTTTTTCTATTTTATAGACGTTTGGCCCCCCCTCCTCCTCGTCCGAGCCCGAGGGTTGCTCCAGGTCAGGGTCTGCCTCTGAGGCTAGTGGAGAACCAGCTGGGGAGCGGTCCGCCCGCTGCGGGCGCGATTCCTGCCGGGACGGCCCGGGCGGGCTTATAGTGGGCTCCGGTGACGACACGCGAGTGGGCGGCTGTGTGGAGAGCTCCTGGGGGAAGCTCACTCTGGAACCTCTCCTTCTCACTGATGTCCCGGTGTCGTTCTCCTGTTCTTGGAGGGTGGGTGAGTTATTGGAGGGTCCCAGGGTGTTTTCGGCCTCTTGGGTGCTCGTTTCTGGATCCTCTAGTGTTACGGGGTCCAGGAAGACAACAGGATTTTGATTATTCCTGGTCTGGCCATGGGTTCTGGGGATCCGTCTGGGTCTAGGAGGATCCAGAGAACCAGGTTGCACGTGTATCTGTGCCGTAGTAAGATTTTGATCCGTTTGGAGATTCTTAAAATAGGGACCGTTCAGAATGCAGTCCTCTATTTTATCCAGTGTGTTTGGTTTGATTCTGGGGAGACTGTTTTTGGCCCATCTCCGGGCTACCATGAACGCCTCTGGCCAGTTGTCATCTTTTGTATTCTCCATTTGATTCATATTATATTGGATCTCTGTTTCGTAGTGTTTTTTGAGTATGTTGATTGTTTCGTGTCCCCAGGTATGTGCATTTTTGTCTAATTGTTGCCTTGTCCTCTCATTAGGAACTGCCGGTTTGATGGCGTCCTTGAGGTCCTTAATTAGACTATTAATCTTCTCCCTCCCCTTTGCCCCAGGTTCATCTGCCAAGCAGGACAGATGATGGGTCAGCTGCATGGTCCTGTATATGAGTCGGATGGACCTGGCCATCTGAGGGGGTGCTGCCTGTCTCACTGGAGAGACCTCTCGTGTATTACCTTGTCTGTGACTCTGTGTTTTAGGTCTGTAAGGTCTGGATGGGGATCTCCGAGGAGCTTCCCTTACTACGTCCGCATAGGAGCGTGGTCCTGGACCGCCACGATGGCGCACGGTTGGGGAGATAGGCACTGACAGGTTAGGTTTATGTATGTGTTCACGTCTCCAACGTGTGGAGACGGGAGGTGTACGGGCCCTATCTCTCCGTCCGGGTTGGGCGGTGTAGCTGGCGCTCCAGGTATAGTGGTGAGGGGGAGTGGGCTCTTCCCGGTGACTCTGGGTGTGTGTACGTCTGTAATGATGTGGACGTCCCCTCTCTCTCTCTGGGACTCTAGTCCACTCATTGTTGGGCCGTCTACGGGGGCCGCGTTCCCATGGGGAACCCCTTCTCTCTCTCCCATACTCATCCTGATGGTTATTGACCTCCCGCAGACTGTGGGCCAATCCCGTTGGGAGTGGGTCCACTGTGGACTGCTGCGGGTGTATGGTGAGTAGGGAGTCCAGGTGTATTCTGGCATTTTTTGTTGGATTTTTAGTTTTTTGTATTTTTGTAAAGGACTTTATTAAAAGTGTTTAAAAGGTTTAAAACAGACTTTATTAAAAGTGTTTAAAAGGTTTAAAACTTCAGATTGCCTCCTTTGTGTTATGGGAGGCAAAAGAAAGACCTTAAAAGGTCTAAGAAATTTTAAAATGCGCAGGTTCTCAGAATTAATAAATAAAGGACATTAAAAGAGCTATATAAAGGATAAAACACGACGTTTCGACCTTGACTGGTCTTCATCAGGTGTATATAAAAAAAAGGTAGAGCACAGATTTTGGACTTGTGATGTGCACTCTCTGAAGAGCTGTTCAGAATGAACCAGAGGTGAGGGTGGAGCAGCCTCTTATCCTCTGTTCCTCTTCCCTGATTGGTTGAGGGTGATTGGGTTGGTCTCCACCTGTGTGGGGAGACCCACCTGTAGGCCGTTAGTAAAACAGCTGGATATGGAGGACAGGAAGGGAAATAAATACTATTTTGGGTGTGGAAAGTGGGCTGAAATGTAAACAATGTGTGGATTTGGATTCTGTGTATAGGAGAGGTCCGGGTGGGCTTTGGTCCTAAATCAAATGGGTTGAATTAAGGTTCCAGATGGGGATGGGGTTTAATAATGAAAAAATAAGTTATGTGAAGGTACGAGGTCCAAGGGGTTTATAAATTAGGTTATAATTAGGCAAGGGGTTAGGATAGGTGATATATATTATTTAATTTGGTTATGTTTAGGCCAGGGGTTGGGGTAAATATTATATAATGATGGATCTGGTTATGTTTAGGGAAGGGGTTAGGGTAGGTGGTATATAATACTGAACTTGGTTATGTTTAGGCCAGGGGTTAGGGTAGATGTTGTATAATAATGAATATGGTTAGGTTTAGGCCAGGGGTTGGGGTGGGTATTATATAATAAGGTGGTTATGTTTAGGCCAGGGGTTGGGGTGGGTATTATATAATAATGAAGATGGTTGTGTTTAGGCCAGGGGTTGGGGTGGGTGATATATAATATATTAAGGAATATGGTTATGTTTAGGCCAGGGGATGGGGTGAGGTGATATATAATAATGAATTTGGTTATGTTTAGGCCAGGGGTTAGGGTAGATGTGTAATATAATGAATAGAGCCACCGCTGCATAATAAATATGAATTCATTCATTCAATCAATCTATATTTATTCACTTCTACAATTCAAGAGAGATTTTTCTAATGTATCAAAACTATTTTTGCAAATTTGTGAAAAACGCAGCTGAATATATAGCGTATATTTATTTTTACATAAACATAACAAACAAACGTGCCTTTTGAGGCTTCCAACAGTCTTTTTGGACTTCCGTGCTGACCTGTCGCGACCATTGCTGCATAATTCTAGGCGTGACTTTCATAAATACGTTCGTATTCAGCCAATTTATCAACACCCGCAGCTGCGTACGCTCAGATCTGGGCTGATCTCACACGTTCATAAATCCGACGTTGGATTTTGCGTAAATGGAATATACACCCCAAATGTACACATTTTTCTACGCAAGTTTCATAAATGAGCTTGTGTGTATGTGTGTGCTTGGGTGTGTGTGTGTGTGCGCGTGCGTGCGTTTGAACCATATTCTTTGAAACCCCAATTCCAGCTACCCCTTGTAGTTTGCGTGCGAATTTGGCCTACTTACTAATCTGCAGGCCTACCCAAAATTGCAAACCTGGCGCCGCTACTGACATATACTTACAGTACATACACACATACACACATACTGTACAAAGGAGCAAAACCTTCTGCATCTCAGTGAACGCCATAGTCTTGGGTGTGTGTCTTTCTACTGTATATTAAAAATGAAAAGATGAGATATGAGACCTGGGGTCAGTTGAGATGTGGAATGTAGTCTGTGACCAGAGGAGTCTTTCCAGCGGCTGATGTTCAGTCCGTGCAGGAAGCTCACACTGTTGGATTTCAGGCTCTGAGAGTTTGCGAGACTGGGAAGAACATGAGGCATAATAATGTAAAAGTGCGTCTCTGTGGGGCTGTCCCGTTGTGCTGCGGCGGTACAGGTGTGCGACATGCTTTGTTGACCATAATCCTCGGGTCTCTGAGTGTGTTTGACGTAGCCCAAACACACGTAGCGTCCTGGGCCCTCGCTGCTGGGCCGTGCCGCTCCCGTCCGCTCCAGCCGCTCATGGGATCTGACAGGCGGAAAAATAATGAACAACACCTCAACCCAGCGATGACCCTGCCTCCGCCTCACCCGCCTCACCCGCCTCACCCGCCCCACCCGCCTCACACTGGGGGTCACACTACCACTTAATTGAGCCTCCAGCATCAAACCAGACACCCCCCCCCCCCCCCCCCCCCACCACCACGAGAGCCAGACATGTGCTGGGCCTGCGTAACACACTTTACTCTCAGAGTTAGATATTTCATTGTTTACAGTCTTTCTCAGTGTCTTTGGTGCATTTCTCATTCTTCACATTTGCAGTTTGTGCATTTCTCAGAACAAGTAGTTCAAACTGCAAAACCTCGTGGATAACCTGCAAAAGTGCATCACTTTCTCAAAATGAAAAGTGAATTCCTCAAAAGCAAGTCTTCACGTCAATGAAACTGTCCCCAGTGCTAACACTATTGAGTATGAACAACAGTCACATGACTTAGTCATGTTTTCATTGTGACACGTTACTCTCTGTGTTTTCAAAGTAAAAAGGTCAGATCTCGATGACACTTGAGCACGACTTTGAGCACTCTATACACGACCTATAGCCATTAACAGCAAAAACTACAGTAAAGTTACACAAAAACTGTATTTTAGAGAGATAACGGACATGTATGTGTGTATCTACTGTATGTGCGTGTGTATGTATGTATGCACTGTATGTGTGTATGTACTGTATCTATGTGTGTGTGTATGCATGTGTGTATGTATGTGTGTATGTGTGTATCTATGTGTGTATGTGTGTATGTATGTGTACTGTTTGTTTTCAATGTAAAAAGACAGATGAAAATAATAATCTAATTGATGGTAGCTGTAGTTGTTATAGTAAAGTGTGATGTGACGTGTGTGTGTGAGTGTGTGTGTGTGTGAATGTGAGTGTGTGTGTGTGAGTGTGTGTGTGTGTGAGTGTGAGTGTGTGTGAGTGTGTGTGTGTGTGAGTGTGTGTGTGTGTGGGAGTGTGTGTGTGTGTGTGTGTGTGTGTGTGTGTGTGTGAATGTGAGTGTGTGTGTGTGTGTGTGAATGTGAGTGTGTGTGATTATAGACACTTTTATGAAACGTAAATGTGGTTCAGAGATGGAACAATGGCCTCAGCGTGACCTCGGCGTGACCTCGGCGTGACCTCAGCTTCATTAAAACAACGACCCATTAATTATCTTCATCTTCTGACTTGACTCTGACCGTTTCACTCGTCTGTCGTTGTCACGTGTGAGTGATGCAGATTATTGTGTTTATGTGTTTGGAATAATGAGATTAACACATTTGTGACTGTTTTAGACACATGTGTTTTAGACACACGTGTGTTTTTAGACACACGTGTGTTTTTAGACACATGTGTTTTTAGACACGTGTGTTTTTAGACACATGTGTTTTTAGACACGTGTGTTTTTAGACACATGTATTTTTAGACACGTGTGTTTTTAGACACGTGTGTTTTTAGACACACGTGTGTTTTTAGACACACGTGTGTTTTTAGACACACGTGTGTTTTTAGACACACGTGTGTTTTTAGACACACGTGTGTTTTTAGACACACGTGTGTTTTTAGACACACGTGTGGTTTTAGACACACGTGTGGTTTTAGACACACATGTGGTTTCTTATGTTTTAAAGTAAATGTGACTTTTTTAACACAAAGCTTTAACAAAAAAGAAATATCTCTGTTTTTAAATAAACCCAAAAAGTCCTTTTCCTCGGGCATTGTTCTTGGCAGATTATTAGTTGTTTATTTGAAAGGTTTTGCTCCAGAAAGAGATGAAACTTTATTGATATTGCACTAAAAATAGTTTTTTTTTTAAACCTCTTTTAAATAAACTAAAGCTGAGACTTGTTTTTCATCGACACGTTTCCAGTTTTTGTGAATGAACTCTTCTCAGGAGCTTATGTTCAAATGACTACGAACAATAATAAGTATTTTATTTGTATTTGGTATATTCTTGTTTTCCAAATGTGAGGAAACAAATAAAAGTAAAGTGTGACTGGTCAGGATGAAAGTCTGAAAAAGACAAAATGGTTCAAAATCATTGAATGTGAAAGTCATTTATTTAAACTCGTCACACGCTCGAGGTTCATCAAGACTTTGTTTGTTACAAAGTTCATCATTTTCTCACAACTTGTAAAATATACAACTCAGAAAGTTAGAATATTTTGAAAACAGACGTGAGTCTGTGTCTTGAACGATCTTTATGATTGTCCCAGTTTGACCGTCACGAGCCTCTTACGAGTCTGTGTCTTGGCTCATTCTGGTCTCTTTCACACACGCCCCCAGACCGACATTGTCGTTCTGCTAAAGTTGTGTGTTTTCTTTGTTTCAAAGTCTGTGATCCAGAAAAACACGATGTCCCACTCTGATGGCGGACGTCAGATCCAGGGTCACCTTTTCCCACCCACTGTGAGATGTCCTGAGTTTGCACACTCGTAATTAGAAGTAGATCCACTGACCCAAGTTCTGTTTGATCACTTTGGGACACGCTGAAATCCTGTCCCAATTTGGCACCGAGACAAAACTGTGACATCTGAAAAGAGCTATTGTAGAGACCGCGGCCTGCGCTGGGAAGAAGAAGCTCCAGGACTCTGTCTGTGGGCGTCCCCAGGAGACCTGACAGGACCCTTCACCCAAAGGATTCAGCCACAGTCGTGGGCCGCAGAGGACCCTAATGAGAGACATCTGGGAGAGACAGGGAGAGAGACGGGAGAGAGACAGAGAGAGAGACGGGAGAGAGACGGGAGAGAGACGGAGAGAGACGGAGAGAGAGACGGAGAGAGAGACGGGAGAGAGACAGAGAGAGAGACGGGAGAGAGACGGGAGAGAGACGGAGAGAGAGACGGGAGAGAGACTGAGAGAGAGACGGAGAGAGAGACGGGAGAGAGACGGGAGAGAGACGGGAGAGAGACGGGAGAGAGAGACAGGAGAGAGAGACAGGAGAGAGAGACGGAGAGAGACGGAGAGAGAGACGGGAGAGAGACGGAGAGAGAGACGGGAGAGAGACGGAGAGAGACGGAGAGAGAGACGGAGAGAGAGAGAGACGGGAGAGAGACGGGAGAGAGACGGGAGAGAGACGGGAGAGAGACGGAGAGAGAGACGGGAGAGAGACGGGAGAGAGACAGAGAGAGAGACGGGAGAGAGACGGGAGAGAGACGGAGAGAGACGGAGAGAGACGGAGAGAGAGACGGGAGAGAGACAGAGAGAGAGACGGGAGAGAGAGACGGGAGAGAGACGGAGAGAGACGGAGAGAGAGACGGGAGAGAGACTGAGAGAGAGACTGAGAGAGAGACGGGAGAGAGACGGGAGAGAGACAGGAGAGAGAGACAGGAGAGATAGACGGGAGAGAGAGACGGAGAGAGACGGAGAGAGAGAGACGGAGAGAGACGGAGAGAGAGACGGGAGAGAGACGGAGAGAGACGGAGAGAGAGACGGGAGAGAGAGACGGGAGAGAGACGGAGAGAGAGACGGGAGAGAGACGGGAGAGAGACGGAGAGAGAGACGGAGAGAGACGGAGAGAGACGGGAGAGAGACGAGAGAGAGAGGGAGAGAGACGGGAGAGAGACGGGAGAGAGACAGGAGAGAGAGACGGGAGAGAGATAGACGGGAGAGAGAGACGGAGAGAGACGGAGAGAGAGACGGAGAGAGAGACGGGAGAGAGACGGGAGAGAGACGGAGAGAGACGGAGAGAGAGACGGGAGAGAGACGGGAGAGACGGAGAGAGAGACGGGAGAGAGACAGGAGAGAGAGACAGGAGAGAGAGACGGAGAGAGAGACGGAGAGAGACGGAGAGAGAGACGGAGAGAGAGACGGGAGAGAGACGGAGAGAGAGACGGAGAGAGAGACGGAGAGAGAGACGGAGAGAGAGACGGAGAGAGAGACGGGAGAGAGATGAGAGGGAGACAGGAGAGAGACGAGAGAGAGACGGGAGAGAGCCCTATAGTTCACAAAAATCATTTGTGAACTATAGGGCAATACACTCAATTAGATCCACAAGAATAGCCTCGGTGCGCGATTGTATGATCCCCTTCTCCTCTCTGTCTTCTCTGTGAAGGCCTCTTCCTCTCTGTCTTCTCTGTGAAGGCCTCTTCCTCTCTGTCTTCTCTGTGAAGACCTCTTCCTCTCTGTCTTCTCTGTGAAGGCCTCTTCCTCTCCGCCTTCTCTGTGAAGGCCTCTTCCTCTCTGTCTTCTCTGTGAAGGCCTCTTCCTCTCTGTCTTCTCTGTGAAGGCCTCTTCCTCTCTGTCTTCTCTGTGAAGGCCTCTTCCTCTCCGCCTTCTCTGTGAAGGCCTCTTCCTCTCTGTCTTCTGTGTGAAGGCCTCTTCCTCTCTGTCTTCTCTGTGAAGGCCTCTTCCTCTCTGTCTTCTCTGTGAAGGCCTCTTCCTCTCTGTCTTCTCTGTGAAGGCCTCTTCCTCTCTGTCTTCTCTGTGAAGGCCTCTTCCTCTCTGTCTTCTCTGTGAAGGCCTCTTCCTCTCTGTCTTCTGTGTGAAGGCCTCTTCCTCTCTGTCTTCTCTGTGAAGGCCTCTTCCTCTCTGCCTTCCTCTCTGTGTGCTACACTGGAAGGCTTTAAGATGGAACTGAAAAGACACTTAAAGAGTGAGCAAAGATGTGATCATTATCCATAGGCCCAAAGGTACTGACGCCACCTGAGTGTGTGTGTTTGTGTGCGTGTGTAACTGTGTGTAATTGTGCGCTTGTGTGTGGGAATACGTCTGTGATTGTGCGTTTGTGCGTCTGCTCTGTGTGTATCTGCTGACTGTATACAAATGTGTGTTTTATGGTATGTGCTTGTGTTATTTTATACCCACCTGTAGGTGGAGTGTACTTTAGTAATCTTTATTTATATACCGCCTTTTCACTGCAGATCTGAGTCTCAAAGCGGTTTACAATTGTTAATTTTGGGGCATTTGTCTCTCACTCCACACAGAGATGGGAGCGGCCAGTACAGGAGGCACATGCCAGAACTATTGGACATATTTTTAGTGGTAGGGGAAACCGGAGCACCCGGAGGAAATACTCTCTCTCATGTGACGACAGTTACTGTGGAAGCTCAGAGTTTCCCAAAATCACTTGTTTTTAAACTGTTTGAAGTTAGATCTGTTTTAGGTAAATATTTATACCAGAATCATTTCCATTTCTCTTAATGCCGCAGTAAGAAGCCATTACTCATAAAACTATGTCCGTCTGAACACTCACAGAACCACATTCCTACTTCAGAGGCGGAGGATGAAACTATGAAGGAAGTGGAGCAGGAAAATAAAACATCCACTCTGAAAGCATGGGGGTGGTAGTCTCATGTTGTGGGGCTGTTTTTCTGCACTTCATTGAATATTGTAGATGGAATCATGAAGAAGGAACAGGAAATATTGACGCAATACTAAGGGTTACTGATTATCGCACCTTTAATAACATGATGAAAGATTTTAAAAATTGTGGCAAAAATACATTATTCTGGTAAAAAATAACATAATAGGAGACATTTGGTCATAATAATAATCATAAATATTTTAATAATATTTTTTTCTCAAGGTTTTTATAAGCTTTATGTTATTTTAAAGATTGTGTTGAACAAACAGGAGGAATGTAGTGAACCCATGGATTAGACCCATTTCTAATGCACATGACGTAATTATCATTAACAAGAAGAAAACAACCTCCGCCATGTTTTAATAAAATATACATTTATTATTTACCATGTGTTCTGTACAGCAGCAGTTTACTGCATTTGAAACGTGGATCCAGGAAGTGTCATCACATCAACTGTTGCCATAGAAACTCATTTCAAAATCAAATATAACATATTTTTAATTCCTCAAAATTAGGAATCTGAAACCCATAGAAACATGAATAAATTAATGATGTTGGACATGAATGTGAAAATGGTTAATATGAAGAAGGTTCGGATCAAAAAACCCTCCATCTGTGAAAATATGAGAAAAAAACAAATGTGCCAAAACAAAACATGAAATGTACATTTTACAACTTTCAAAAATATATGTTTTCTCCAAACAAGTGTCTGAGTCTGTGCAGCTCACAGCAAAGCTTGGTCTTCATCACTCTGAAGACTTCATCACTCTGAAGACTTCATCACTCTGAAGACTTCATCACTCTGAAGACTTCATCACTCTGAAGACTTCATCACTCTGAAGACTTCATCACTCTGAAGACTTCATCACTCTGAAGACTTCATCACTCTGAAGACTTCATCACTCTGAAGTCTTCATCACTCTGAAGACTTCATCACTCTGAAGACTTCATCACTCTGAAGACTTCATCACTCTGAAGTCTTCTTCACTCTGAAGTCTTCATCACTCTGAAGACTTCATCACTCTGAAGACTTCATCACTCTGAAGACTTCATCACTCTGAAGACTTCATCACTCTGAAGACTTCATCACTCTGAAGACTTCATCACTCTGAAGACTTCTTCACTCTGAAGACTTCATCACTCTGAAGTCTTCTTCACTCTGAAGACTTCATCACTCTGAAGGAAACATCACGGATAAGTGCTTTTGTTTGGACGCCTGATGCACGCCTGACGCACGCCTGACGCACGCCTGACGCACGCCTGACGCACGCCTGATGCACGCACGCCTGACGCACGCCTGACGCACGCCTGACGCACGCCTGACGCACGCCTGATGCACGCCTGACGCACGCCTGATGCACGCCTGATGCACGCCTGACGCACGCCTGATGCACGGCTAATGCACGCCTAATGCACGCACGCCTGATGCACGCCTGACGCACGCCTGACGCACGCCTGACGCACGCCTGACGCACGCCTAACGCACGCCTGACGCACGCCTGACGCACGCCTGACGCACGCCTGACGCACGCCTGACGCACGCCTGACGCACGCCTGACGCACGCCTGACGCACGCCTGATGCACGCACGCCTGACGCACGCGCCTGACGCACGCCTGACGCACGCCTGACGCACGCCTGATGCACGCCTGACGCACGCCTGATGCACGCCTGATGCACGCCTGACGCACGCCTGATGCACGGCTAATGCACGCCTAATGCACGCACGCCTGATGCACGCCTGACGCACCCGAACGCCTGACGCACGCCTGACGCACGCCTGACGCACGCCTAACGCACGCCTGACGCACGCCTGACGCACGCCTGACGCACGCCTGACGCACGCCTGACGCACGCCTGACGCACGCCTAACGCACGCCTGACGCACGCCTGACGCACGCCTGACGCACGCCTGACGCACGCCTGACGCACGCCTGATGCACGCCTGACGCACGCCTGACGCACGCCTGATGCACGGCTGACGCACGCCTGATGCACGCACGCCTGACGCACGCCTGACGCACGCCTGACGCACGCCTGACGCACGCCTGACGCACGCCTGACGCACGCCTGATGCACGCCTGACGCACGCTGACGCACGCCGCTGACGCACGCCTGACGCACGCCTGACGCCTGACGCACGCCTGACGCACGCCTGACGCACGCCTGACGCACGCCTGACGCACGCCTGACGCACGCCTGACGCACGCACCTGACGCACGCCTGACGCACGCCTGACGCACGCCTGACGCACGCCGCACGCCTGACGCACGCTTGACGCACGCCTGACGCACGGCTGACGCACGCCTGACGCACGCCTGACGCACGCCTGACGCACGCCTGACGCACGCCTGACGCACGCCTGACGCACGCCTGACGCACGCCTGACGCACGCCTGACGCACGCCTGACGCACGCCTGACGCACGCCTGACGCACGCCTGACGCACGCCTGATGCACGGCTGACGCACGCACGCACGCCTGACGCACGCCTGACGCACGCCTGACGCACGCCTGACGCACGCCTGACGCACGCCTGACGCACGCCCTGACGCACGCCTGACGCACGCCTGACGCACGCCTGACGCACGCCTGACGCACGCCTGACGCACGCCTGACGCACGCCTGACGCACGGCTGACGCACGGCTGACGCACGGCTGACGCACGCCTGACGCACGCCTGACGCACGCCTGACGCACGCCTGACGCACGCCTGACGCACGCCTGACGCACGGCTGACGCACGCCTGACGCACGCCTGACGCACGCCTGACGCACGCCTGACGCACGCCTGACGCACGCCTGACGCACGCCTGACGCACGCCTGATGCACGCCTGACGCACGCACGTTTCCAGAGGTAAGAAGATGCTATATGTTAGCATTGGCTAATTCTTATTCCGGGTACACCCCCACAGGCCCGGGGTGGTATTGCAGAATGTCAGCGCAGGTCATTTTGGCCACTTTTGAGCAAACGCCTTCCCCAGATTTTTTTTTTATCGACCAATCAGGATTGCCGGTGCTACGTGGGGTTTGCACTGCCTTCTCAAGCTTCTCTCATGCAGCAGCGAGAGGAATCCAAGATGGTGGACGTAAAGTCCGCGAATCTTTTTAAAAGAGTAAATACGATCAAACTAAGACACGGATGTAACTTTTAATGCAATTTAAGGCGAGGTGTTGATAGTTCTATGTTGATGGTTCTATGTTGATGGTTCTATGTTGATGGTTCTATGTTGATGGTTCTATGTTGATGGTTCTATGTTGATGGTTCTATGTTGTGTTTTAAGAGTCAAATGTTCCTGTAAAGTTTGGTTGAAGCACTGGTTCAGTGTTCCTGTTTACACACTATGCAGCAGGGTTGCCAGGTTTGGTGGTTCCCGCATGTTTTTTTCCAAGAGTCTTGTAGGTATTAAATAAACAGAAAGACAATAAACAGAATCATGACAGCCCAAGTTGATTACATTAAGTTTTTAGCCAAAAAATCATTCTGAGTTTTTTTTGTGGGTATTCTCGCAGATTTTGGGTTGGAAAATCTTGCTGGGATTTGGCAACCTATGGGAGCCGTGTGCTTCGATGTGAGTGGTTGAAAGCAGACTTCATTCAAGATAACGGACAAGTGGTCTATCCAATCACATACAAGGATTTTTTTTTACAAGGCCCTGCCTTCTGAAATCCAACCACTGTGGCTCAGTACCAGACTCATGTGTGAAGTGCAGCGGACTACATGGCTCTGGAGAGAGTCAGTCCCTACTGGATGGAACCTAAAATGTCATATATTTTAGGCTAATATTTAAAGATTAATGGAAAAGAGATGCATATTTTCTGATCTTATTTGTACTTTTTGCAGCAAACGTAAAAGTAGAAGTACTTCCTAAAGCTCAGTTCCATCTCGTGGGTAGATCAAGCTGTTGACACTAAAACTGTTGTAAAAATGTCCATTGAACTGTGAGGTCTGTGCGGCGCTGCTGAGCGTGTTGTAGTAAACTCCTCTGTTAAAGGTGAGACTGGAGTCTGCCAGCTCTGAGGCTGCAGGCCCGTCCTGCTGCTGCTGCGCCGCCGGGGTGGACTGATACGCCGTTATGTTCCGATTGGTAAGTTCATTGACCAGTCCCATGGCCCCCTGTGGTCTGGGGGAGCCCAGGCCGGACATGGCGCTGTAGAAGTTGTTAAAACACGGTGAGTTTGGGACGTGCTCCTTGTGGTTTTGGTCCTCCAGCTCCGGAGAGGACTGTCCCAGCAGAGAGGGGGGGCTGTCGGGGGCCTTGAGGCTGGAGGCTCCAGGCCGCTCCGGGACGTCCTGTACTTTGGAGGTGCTCAAAGAGGAGCTGGGGTCCGAGCGCCGCTTTCTTTTTCTCCTGAAGTTTCCATTGTCAAACATTTTCTCACAGTTTGGGTCCAGCGTCCAGTAGTTTCCTTTCCCTGCAGCGAGAGAAACGTTTTACAATCTACAAAACTACAAAACACAGTGTGCTTTGGAAACAGATCCTTATATATACTTGACTGCATAAATATATATATATATATATATATAGAGCGTGAGAGAGAGAGAGAGAAAAAATATTTAATTATAAATTAATTATTTAATTTTATGTGATTTTTTAGAGTCATAGAAAAAGAGGTTCTTAATCTCGATGGGATATTTCCCGGTTAAAGAAAGGTTAAAGAAATAAAAATAAAAGTTGGAGACCAACGTAATAAATTAAATTATGAAAATGTAAACAAATCTGTTTTTTATAACAGAAGTGAGTATTGCATGGATCCTGTCTCTGGATTATATTGCACATATGGATTATATTGCACATATGGATTATATTGCACATATGGATTATATTGCACATATGGATTATATTGCACATATGGATTATATTGCACATATGGATTATATTGCACATATGGATTATATTGCACATATGGATTATATTGCACATATGGATTATATTGCACATATGGATTATATTGCACATATGGATTATATTGCACATATGGATTATATTACACATATGGATTATATTATACATATGGATTATATTGCACATATGGATTATATTGCACATTTTATAAAGAAGATGGAGAAAGAAACTGTGATTTTACAAATCTTTATCATTGTGTTATTTAATAAAAGGTAAATGAATAAAAGAACAATCAAAATGATGTCGTTTATATTTAATCTCCTCAAAGTAAATGTGTAAATGTTTGGATCATGTTTATTTACTGTTATAACATTATTTTGAGGTCTTTCTGATCAAATCCAGGAGCTGCGTGTGGCCCGACGGGTTTGTTTGTATCAGTGAAATCATGAACTCTTTCATTCATTCATTTGATGTGAACAAATAAAAGTTACATTTTATAAACTGCCTTTTGTCTAAAACAAGTTTCAACACTTTTGGGGAATTGTTTTAGAACAAATATTTAAATCTAACAATTACACATAATCATGAATCATTAGTACAAATTTGCTCTGATTGTAGTCACAGTTTTAAGACTGATAATTGAATCATTAAATTGCATTGGATTATTTAATTGTTTTATTGTTCGTCCCCTGAATTTTAGAACACATTTTTAACGTTCAAATCACAAACGAATTAAACATTAAAATCTTCTTGTTTGTTTTTGTGACATCAATCATAAGATTGTGATTTTACGTGTAACTATCTTGAGGATAGACTAACTGGGAATAGAAAAATAACAGACTAAGTATAGAACAACAATAGACCGAGTGGGAATCGAACAATAATAGACAAAGTGGGAATCGAACCCGCACCTGGGTCGTCCTCGTCCCGCGGCACCTTCTTGAAGCAGTCGTTCAGAGACAGGTTGTGGCGGATGGAGTTCTGCCATCCTGCTTTGCTCTTCTTATAAAAAGGGAAGTTATCCGCCACGTACTGGTAGATCTGGCTCAGGGTCAGCTTCTTGTCGTGAGCGTTCTGGATGGCCATAGCGATCAGAGCGGAGTAGGAGTACGGAGGACGCACCAGCTTCAGCAGCTCCTCCTGACTCGCGATAGACAACCATCCGAGATCTGAGCCTCCGAACCCGGCCGAGCTGGAGAGGAACTGCCGCTGGGAGCCGTACCCGGGGGGGATGAAGGCCCCCGGGCTGCTGCTGTGATGCAGGTACGCGGCAGAAGAGGAGTTCACGGCCGGACCATTGAGCCACAAGTACGGGTTGGGGGTGGACGTGTAGTCCCCAAGTGCGTGAGGCCCGTACCCCGAGGGTCTCTGCGCCGCGCTCTGGACGCTCTGGTGGTGGTACACGGAGCTCAGGTTGTCACAGTAAACAGCGGCCATGTCCTCTGCCTTGGGGGGGACCGTGTGGGGTGTGCTGAGACTGCTGTGGTGGTGGCTGCTGGGCTGGTGGTGCTGGTGGTGCTGGTGGTGCTGGTGGTTCTGGTGGTTCTGGTGGTTCTGGTGGTGGTGCGCTTGGAGAGGGTCTATGGAGTTCATCCCAGAGACAGAGGAGAAACGTGTCTCTGAAGGGACGCGGGGAAGTTTGAAGACTTGAGTTTGATCAAAACATAAACTTTCAAAGAAGAGCAGCCACCACGAGGATGGGAACCAGGCCCGGGCCAATGGGAGCGCGCGGAGGGGAGAGGGGCGTGGCCAAGTTCATTCAGAAAAAAAAAAAATGGTTCTCATCTTCTCTATCAGCAGTTTACAGGTATTTATTTATTTATTTGGCTCAGAGAATAGACTGTAGAACAGCTCTGATTGGTCTCTCTGTGGCCTCGCACCAAAATATATTAGTGACACAGGGACTAGGAGCACAGGGACTGGCCTCCTGCTGGGACTCTGAGGAGCACAGGGACTGGACTCCTGCTGGGACTCTGAGGAGCACAGGGACTGGACTCCTGCTGGGACTCTGAGGAGCACAGGGACTGGCCTCCTGCTGGGACTCTGAGGAGCACAGGGACTGGCCTCCTGCTGGGACTCTGAGGAGCACAGGGACTGGACTCCTGCTGGGACTCTGAGGAGCACAGGGACTGGACTCCTGCTGGGACTCTGAGGAGCACAGGGACTGGCCTCCTGCTGGGACTCTGAGGAGCACAGGGACTGGACTCCTGCTGGGACTCTGAGGAGCACAGGGACTGGACTCCTGCTGGGACTCTGAGGAGCACAGGGACTGGCCTCCTGCTGGGACTCTGAGGAGCACAGGGACTGGACTCCTGCTGGGACTCTGAGGAGCACAGGGACTGGCCTCCTGCTGGGACTCTGAGGAGCACAGGGACTGGCCTCCTGCTGGGACTCTGAGGAGCACAGGGACTGGCCTCCTGCTGGGACTCTGAGGAGCACAGGGACTGGACTCCTGCTGGGACTCTGAGGAGCACAGGGACTGGACTCCTGCTGGGACTCTGAGGAGCACAGGGACTGGCCTCCTGCTGGGACTCTGAGGAGCACAGGGACTGGACTCCTGCTGGGACTCTGAGGAGCACAGGGACTGGACTCCTGCTGGGACTCTGAGGAGCACAGGGACTGGCCTCCTGCTGGGACTCTGAGGAGCACAGGGACTGGCCTCCTGCTGGGACTCTGAGGAGCACAGGGACTGGACTCCTGCTGGGACTCTGAGGAGCACAGGGACTGGACTCCTGCTGGTCCCAGAGTAAAACATGCAACAGGTGTCTACTCTGTCCTTATGAAGGATTATACCTTCACTCTTTTGTCTGTGCTGTGATTAATTATTATTTGAATGTTTAATTTCTTGTATTTTAAGCACTGAGTTTCCTTCTACATGAACTGTGCTTTACAAACAAACATTTATCTCAATAATGAACCAGAATAACACATTGAATGAACGAATGAACAATGATTAGATGATTTTCATACAAACATGTGTGTATGTGTGTTTTGTATAATTATAACCTTCTATACGCAATTAACATGGATCTGCTAATATTATTCATATTATTAATATATATGGCCATGGACACTTGCAATCATGTTTTGCAATTAAAGTGGAATCAATAAAAAGCATCATCATCATCATCATCAAGGCAAGGCAAGTTTATTTATATAGCACAGTTCATACACAAGGCAATTCAAAGTGCTGAACAAAACAAGAAAGCATTAAAATCATAAATAATCACAGAACATTAAAAAGAAAGATAAAAATATAAAATCCCTCAGTTGTAGCACAGTTAAACAGAACTGTCTTTAACCTGGTTTTAAACATTGTCAGAGAGGAGGCCTGTCTCACATCTTCAGGAAGACTGTTCCAGATTTTAGCAGCATGAATCTGAAAAGCAGCCTCCCCCTGTTTAGTTCTGACTCTGGGCACTAACAGGAGTCCAGTCCCTGTGCTCCTCAGAGTCCCAGCAGGAGTCCAGTCCCTGTGCTCCTCAGAGTCCCAGCAGGAGTCCAGTCCCTGTGCTCCTCAGAGTCCCAGCAGGAGTCCAGTCCCTGTGCTCCTCAGAGTCCCAGCAGGAGTCCAGTCCCTGTGCTCCTCAGAGTCCCAGCAGGAGTCCAGTCCCTGTGCTCCTCAGAGTCCCAGCAGGAGGCCAGTCCCTGTGCTCCTCAGAGTCCCAGCAGGAGTCCAGTCCCTGTGCTCCTCAGAGTCCCAGCAGGAGTCCAGTCCCTGTGCTCCTCAGAGTCCCAGCAGGAGTCCAGTCCCTGTGCTCCTCAGAGTCCCAGCAGGAGTCCAGTCCCTGTGCTCCTCAGAGTCCCAGCAGGAGGCCAGTCCCTGTGCTCCTCAGAGTCCCAGCAGGAGTCCAGTCCCTGTGCTCCTCAGAGTCCCAGCAGGAGTCCAGTCCCTGTGCTCCTCAGAGTCCCAGCAGGAGTCCAGTCCCTGTGCTCCTCAGAGTCCCAGCAGGAGTCCAGTCCCTGTGCTCCTCAGAGTCCCAGCAGGAGTCCAGTCCCTGTGCTCCTCAGAGTCCGGGCTGGTTCATATGGGACTAACATGTCACTAATATATTTTGGTGCGAGGCCATGGAAAGACTTGTAACAAGCAGAGCTGTTTTAAAGTCTATTCTCTGAGCCACAGGAAGCCAGTGCAGAGACCTGAGGACTGGACTAATGTGGTCGTACTTCCTGGTTCTAGTCAGGACTAATGTGGTTGTACTTCCTGGTTCTAGTCAGGACTAATGTGGTCGTACTTCCTGGTTCTAGTCAGGACTAATGTGGTCGTACTTCCTGGTTCTCGTCAGGACTAATGCGATCGTACTTCCTGGTTCTAGTCAGGACTAATGTGGTCGTACTTCCTGGTTCTAGTCCGGACTAATGTGGTCGTACTTCCTGGTTCTAGTCAGGACTAATGTGGTCGTACTTCCTGGTTCTAGTCAGGACTGTCACTCCCGTATTCGTCCCGGAAACCGGATTCGTCCGGAAGTTCAGTTTGATCCAATGAGCATAGGCAGCAGTAGATTACGTCACGGAATCTGGACGGAAGCGGAAGTAAATATAAAAAACTACCTATTCATGCCTAAACTTAACCTGCCATTCCCATAAAATAACCCCAACCCAGCCTTAACCCTAAACTTAACCATCTTAATCAGACGCCTAAACTTAACCAGTCACCACTTAAGGACATATTAAACTTTTTGACATGCGCAAACTGAACTTCCGGACGAATCCGGTTTCCGGGACGAATCCGGGAGTGACAAGGACTAATATGGTGGTACTTCCTGGTTCTAGTCAGGACTAATATGGTCGTACTTCCTGGTTCTAGTCAGGACTAATATGGTCGTACTTCCTGGTTCTAGTCAGGACTAATGTGGTCGTACTTCCTGGTTCTAGTCAGGACTAATGTGGTCGTACTTCCTGGTTCTAGACAGGACTAATGTGGTCGTACTTCCTGGTTCTTGTCAGGACTCGAGCTGCTGCATTTTGAATGTACTGCAGCTGTTTTACAGCCTGTTTGGACAGACCTGTGAGCAGGCCATTGCAGTAGTCTAACCTACTGGAGACAAATGCATGGATAAGAATCTCCAAGTCTGCTTTAGACACTATGATCATCATCATCGTCATCATCATCATCATCATGTCATTCATGTCATTTTTTCTTAAAACTATACATATCATCTGATGTGTGTAGTATAAACTATACCAGTGTCTCCCAAAGTGGGGTCCGCGGCCCCCTGGTGGGCCGCGAGGGTACTGCAGGGGGGCCGCGGGAGGTCATAAAAAAAATTTAAAAAATAATATAATTATTTCATGTTAAATTTATAATGTTTTGTTTGTAATATTAAAATATTTGTGTTCATTATTTGACTTGAATAATCCACTGTAATCCTTTTTGTATTACAATGTTTGTAGCAGAGGCTATTTCCCCAAAATAAAATAACCAGAAGAGCCTATTCTTAATGTTGTCTTCTTGGTTATTATTTTGGGGGGCCACGCAGACCCGTCAGATTTTTAAGGGGGCCTCGGTGTTACTGAGTTTGGGAATGGCTGAACTATACTATACAAGGTTTCTATACTTATTAACCTTATAGCGCCATCTAACGTCGCATCTCATTATTGAGCTTCCCAAAAACAGAAAGTCTGCGTCGTGTGCCCTTCCCATCCCACAACAAGATGGAGCTGTCGCACTGTTATTTCAGTAGCATGTCATGTCCACACTGACCACAAGATGGAGCTGTCGCACTGTTATTTCAGTAGCATGTCATGTCCACACTGACCACAAGATGGAGCAGTCGCACTGTTATTTCAGTAGCATGTCATGTCCACACTGACCACAAGATGGAGCAGTCGCACTGTTATTTCAGTAGCATGTCATGTCCACACTGACCACAAGAGGGAGACAGACATTCATCAGTTTTCCATTCATATGTGTTTTTGTGAATGAACCTCAAACAGACTCAATGGAAACAGAGCTCACAGAGTCACATGATGCTGATAATGTCTACACAGTCTATATAACACAGTCTCTATAACACAGTCTCTATAACACAGTCTCTATAACACAGTCTCTATAACACAGTCTCTATAACACAGTCTATATAACACAGTCTATATAACACAGTCTCTATAACACAGTCTCTATAACACAGTCTATAACACAGTCTATAACACAGTCTCTATAACACAGTCTATATAACACAGTCTCTATAACACAGTCTATATAACACAGTCTATATAACACAGTCTCTATAACACAGTCTATAACACAGTCTATAACACAGTCTCTATAACACAGTCTATAACGCAGTCTATAACACAGTCTATATGAGACAGGCCTCCTCTCTGACAATGTTTAAAACCAGGTTAAAGACAGTTCTGTTTAACTGTGCTACAACTGAGGGATTTTATATTTTTATCTTTCTTTTTAATGTTCTGTGATAATTTATGATTTTAAT